GGCGCGGGTGCACAAATCTGCTTGGAGACCTATATAACTTCTGACATGAGATACCTTGACATGGACACCAGTGTGTGTAAGTTTTAAAAGGATAGCCATTTATAGGAACACTGTAAAAATCCAAAGTACGACTACCTATATTTTAGCTCAGTTGCTACACAACAAAAAGTGAGCCAAAAACAAAAGTCACGAAATATTCGTTGTTACAAAAAAATGAAAATAAAAAACGCACCCCTTTACCTCTGGCACGAGCCAACTACTGTCGGTCTCCAGAAAAGCGTCCAAGTTTTCCTTATATGGACAAAAACGAGTCGTCCGTATAATATGCATGGCACGTGGAAAAATGGGCCTGTCGCCACATTTACCTAGATTGACTGCTGTCATTCGGCGACACTTTGACACGCGATGGCACGAGCCTTCCCAAATACGGACTTATTTTTAATGTAGAAAATGAATGCGGACGTCAACGGAAAGCCCGGGTCATACAAAACCTTGCCTTGTTGCTGGAAATTAAGGCGCTTCATAAGAAATCAGTGTCTTAAATGAAGATTGGTCATCGGTTATAGACTTCGTATGATGACAATATTGCTTAGTTAAGTGCCATGTTAAAAGGCTAAGTATGATTGCGAATTTTCATGATCATGAATGTTACCACTTGTTATTTGGAATTAAAATAAATGAACACAAGCTGAGACGATGCATAATAAATCAGCTTCTTCAGATCGATAATCTCTCAGCCACAAGATATTTGTGATAAAGGAGCCGTCAAATCTGCCCCCAGAAAACTTAGTCCGATGACTAAACCATAACGTTATGTAAAAGTTCGTCAACACAAATACTCTTCGGGTAAGCGTCGTCACCGTCCTCTGATACCTTGGCCTCACTATACTCGTATATCCACCGCACCAACCCCATCCGGTCCCACACATCACAAACCCACCACTCCCCGTCCCACCATTCCCAACCCATCAACATTCTCCCGTCCCATCATTCCAAACCCATCAGCATTCTCAGTGGTACGATTGGCACAACTCCACCAAAATCTGGCACGACCGATCACCAACCCGGTGTAAATGTGCCTGCCTGACAGTCATTGACGACTGGCAAAAGATGGCCGACTGATTTGTAGAGCCGCTGACACCAGTGGCTGAGGCCCACACCTGGTTCAACATATCACTACCGGGCGAATGATGTTCAACACTGTATCGGCGCCAAGATAAGTGGTAAATTGCTAATTGTTTGAAGTATTTTTATGATTGTTTTGTCTAAGAAATAAGCGGTTGGTAAATATACGATCGGTAAGCAATAGACTGTTTGTTTGGGTATAATTTGCAAGCTTAGTTAAAATAAATTTGACGCACATTCTGGGTAGGTAATGCAATTCGAATCGTGCCAGTCAATACCGCAACCAGAAACAGCAAATTGTCACCAATTATTTTGTCCCGCGACCAATCAGGGTTTCAGCAATTTCTTGTTTGTTCCAGAAATGCATCTCTGCTGCAAAAAATATTTTGTCAATCTTCTTTTTTAAATATATGAGACATTTTAGCAGTCTGTTCCTCCCCAATCCTGCGGAAGGCGGCCACGTTTTCTGCCTCATTCGATGTGGAATGTTTTAGTGACCGTAGCCTTCTTAATTAGGTTGCGTGAGGACGGCGTTTCAACACGTCACGAAGGAACTTCAAAAAATTGAACCGTCTACCTGGGAGTTGAAACGTCAAAAGCTATTCTCCCTTTGTATTCATTGTCACTGAAAAACAATGGAAACACAAAAGGACACGACCTGAGCAAATTCTAGGACATGTTTTTCAAACATATTGAAGGCGTCATTTCAAGATAAAATCCAATGTTATGCTGATCCATTACGTACTTACAGATCATGCCATATCCCTAAATAGGCCGGTGTTCTTATAAGTTCCATTATTTACCCAGTTTTTCAACACATGCCTTCAATGGAGTGAATAAATATAACATCAGTTTTACATCGTATTCCTATACTCCCCTGATCATTCATTACCTATACCTTTCCTTTACGTGTTGTACATTGCATACCATGCACTTGTTTATGGACGAAGTTGCTTCCACCAAAATACAATGATTTTCCTGGTGCTGAAGGAATTTGTGTGATGTAAAAAGCCGCTCTCGTCATGTGTTTCGTAACGAGAGTAAAAAAACAATGAAGCTGAACATTGAAATGAAGACGATTGATTTGGTTACGAAGACGATGTAATGAATAACACAAATCCAGTAGATGAATGATAAGTGTACGTCAACTTCATTCAATCCACGCATATTCATGCTTTGTCTGGCTTATCGTAAATTACGATTGAACTAAGCCGTACGATTCGTAATATTCTTAGGTGATATGCTTCAACATAACAAAGCAGCCTATGCTCTGGGACGGAATAATGCTAAATGGATAAAATTAATCCCTTGAGGCATAATATTATGCCATGAAATTCGCAGCTTCCATGTTAAAATGTTTAATTTTTGTCGACGGCTCTGATAAACACAAATTTCAGCTTTCTGCGATTTTATTAGCACGAAGGTAAAAAATAATAAAACATGAGGGGATGCGTCTAAACAGGCGTCTAAACAGTCTACTTTCTGGCAGCGAAAGTGCAAGCAGAAGGCTCTCAAACATCCCGAAACAGCCAGGCCACGCCCCGACAGACCGCCATCCAACGCCACGTGCACCAGCAAGGTCACGTCTGAGACCCAATCAGCCGAACGAAGAGCCAGTCCCACAATCGACGCTTCATTGACAGCCAATCCCCGGTGCTCAGATTGTATTCACAGCCCGGCCCGAGAACTCGGCACATAAATCGTACGCGGCTCGAGACATAAATGGTCGACGTCTTTCGCGTCGGCTCATTCCCGATTCGGACGGTCATTATTCACAGCGCCGCCACGATGTATGTAGGTACGAGCTGACATAGACAAGGAGCAGACGTGTTCTGTGCTAGGCTAGAGGTAAGAGAAGAAGGCAAAGGGAGATAGGTGCGAAGCAGAAGCACACACGCTCTGTGTTGGGAGAAGGACCTTACGGTCGGAGACGGTTGGTGGGGATCCTAAATAACATCTGTTCCAAGAGTTCAAACGGATGTAACTGGGACTGAATGAGTGCCAGATCTAATTGTTTTTAAGCGGTCGATAGCTTTTATTTTGCACACGTCACATGTGCACAACGCAATGAAGACGGTTCATAGGAGACATGGTACAATGTGCAAGCATTCGTGCTATTTTGACTTGTGGAAGTGACCATATTATTCAAACCTACTGCCCCCTAATGGCATCGCAAGCTTGAATGCAATCAGGGCAGCAGCTCTAAGAATAGAGCGCTGAACCGTGCACGTGCGCACCGCACAAGCTGCCCCTGTGCCCAACGCTGACGCATTAGCATGCGTTCCATGAAGGCGCTTCACCTCAGACAGAAATTCGGTGTTATCAGTCAACATGGAGTCAGTTGAAGACACGACGTACGCGGAATTACATATTCTGACACTACTGACCCAGCAGTCTGACAGCAATGATCAGTCACTACACGTGTCATGACACGTGACATTACAAGTGTCATGACACGTAGAGTGACCTCACCCTGATGTACCGACAGTAGTCGGTAAAAGGGATAAGACCAGCCTACACAGATGATCACTTGTTAAACAGATGTATAGGTACGATTGAGGATGGTTCAGACATCAAAAACCACTATAAGCTGGTCAGGCCGGGATAAGAGTCCCGCTTTTCAAAAGTTCATTCCCGACCTTTAGGGGTGATTTCAGTTGAATATATGATATGCATACAATGTACATTCTTATGAAATTTTAATAATTTGGTACACACAAATTTATGTGTGATGAATTTCAGTAAACCTGTTAAACGTGGGCAGCACGTCCAATATGTATAATATTTTCGACTTCCAATTCCAACACATACAATAAAATGTATAATGAGGCGAAACTTAACTACAGTCGGCACAGCACAGGTGTGCAATTCAATTCAATATTCATCCAGATAGGTCGTGATTCCCAGCCAGGTGCAAATATGCATGATTTTAGAGGCCGACACGAATTCCAATAGGGACCGAACATAAATTATTATCCGTAACAATGTCAAGCTATAAAATGCTAGAAGGCGAAACTAGTGTTTCAGCGTGTTTCAATGTGTACAGCACGTCTATATGCTTGATAAAATCACGCAAGCAATGTGTAATTTCGTAGAAATACCTACACATATGCGGAATAACAAATGCTCGAACATACGAAGCAAAGTGTTCACAAATATTCAGCACCTATTGTTGATGCTATTTGCACTTTTTGACACCACAAAATGCGCAAATTTAGATATCCGGATAGCAGGATAATCCGGATCCACTATCCCGGATAACCCACGGATAGTTCACGGATGATTGCACCTGTCTTGGACCGACTGATGTGAATCACTGTCCAGCCAAACCCCTGACGGCGTCACTCGACAGCAGCAACAGCTTCCTGCAGCATGCAACGCGATTCCCGCTTGTTGCATTAGCAAGCACCGACGAAAAGATGCATAAAAGTGTATCCTGTGGAACATGTTTTTCCATGATACATGATCGTTCCTTCACAACTAGTGGCTGGTTAACATTTATTGCGCCTGCCACACAAGCGTCCGATACATGATCACCGGTTTTGCAACCGGCAACAGGTGTTCAGGGCACGGTTGACACGCGGTTCGCGTTAACGCGCCGCATTTTTGATCCATGAAAAAGAATTAAAACGCGAATGGGAATGCACACACCCAGCATTAACAGCTTTTCATGCAGCGCGGGGATGTCAGTGACAACCGATTCGTTTGTTTGTGTCACTTTGATTTATTATTAACATCACAGCCGGAACTGGAAGGCTGTGGCATTGCACACCTCTCGCTATGAGCAATGAGCATCACCGTTGGTCATTGACCAGTGTCTACCGGTCAAGCACCACCTGCAGGAGGCGAGCCCTCCTTCCCAGTCGCTCTCTCACGCTCTCATACTGCACACACCATGGCACCTGGCAGGGCCGGAAGCCGACAGACAACCGATCAGGCACGACACAGCCCCTCACCATGGCGAGTTGGTAGATGGAATCATCACGGCGCTGCATCTGCATATAGGCTAGGTAGCGTGAGAGCCGGTGAAAGACAGGCTCTCGTGGCTGTCGGCAGGGAGCGACAGCGTGCAACAGTGAGCTGCTACAGCGCTGAACAAGAAGTCCGTACAGTGAACAGATCGGGGTTGACGCCTGTAGACGCCATAGTTTTCTTTGCATCGGATGTACATGAATACATATTTGTTTGTGTATGCACTTTTTATAGCCGTCAATCGGCATTGCAAGAATTGCAGCATGTGAGACTTCATAATGCCCTCGGTAGACTTGACTGAGGAAGCATTCCTTGAAAGTTGAAAACAAGCCAAATAAAATCAAGAAGCGGGAAACGCCCTTTCCCATGAACGAAGCTACCTAGCTCTTGACGGGATGAGATGTTCGAAGGTCCCGAGTCGAGCACACCCCTAATTAAGCTGTTAAGGAACTCTCATAGCCGTCATTTTCGTAGCAATATGTAGAAGTTGCATAGTTTGTGCTAAAGTCTGGAGCTAAAATTTGCTTAATTAAAGCATAACGGTCTCCGTTCCATGCAGCATTGCTGATCATCAGCCTGCCGCTGAGCATTGGCCAAGTTCTCAGAGATGCCAAGCTGACGTATAGACTCAGCTGTTTGTCACATATTTTCACCACAGACTATTGCCGCACCCCTCCGCCATCCTGTTCGTCGTTAATCGTTCCGTTTTTGGAACCAACCGGATATTATCCCGGTAGCCAAATGTCATTTGCGCGAGCTGAGGAAGCCAGCTTAAATCAGACACAGGGTCTGCCCAGACGAGACGATCACTAACTCTGAGGGAAATGTCGCAATGTAACCCACCGGAAATGAAGAGCGAAAAATAAAAAGAAGCTAAGTTCAAGCTGGGTCAGTTAGTGAACGCCAGACGCCGGGCAAGGTTGTCTTTCAGGATAGGTTTGTTTAGAGATAATCTTCGCCTAAGAATGGTTCTCGAGATCCAGTGTTCAGGTCTTATGTATTTTAGGATGACGTTCATTCCAAAAAAATACAAAAATATGTATGGTTAATTAATAAAATCAAAATCAAACACAGACAGCGGAAACGTGATGCTAATACAAAAACATGTATAAGAGTAAAGAAAAGGCCATCGCAAACCGTTTAGACGCATGCCCGTGTGTTTGACGAACTTCAAAGCGGCAGTGTCGGGGTTTACAAAGACAGGTATGCCAAACGGGGATTGTGATCACTGAGGACTGAGCAGGCACCCGAGCGACGGTCTGTCTTGTCGGAATCTCTAGTCGTATTGAGACGCGTCGCCCGTCGGTCGCACCGGACGCTGTTTGAAGAACACAGAGGACCACAGGGGACCGCACAGGACCACTGAGGACCGCACAGGACCGCACAGGACCACAGAGGCACGGGGTAAGCGCAGGTGGCCCATACAGGGGCGACTTGGTCCGCCCGGTCGTCCGCGCCGTCCGCGCCGGCCGGAACGCGCCGGACCGAACCTTTCGCCGGGACCGGCCCGGCCAGTAACAAAAGGGCCGCGTAGACCGGTGATCAAGGGAAAAGGGGGGAGTGTGGGTGGCCGGCCGGCGGAAACGAACACCTGGGACTGCCACCGTCCCAGCAGGGGGGGGGGGGACGGAGCGAGGGTGCCCGACCCGAGACGGATTGTCTCACAGACCGCGCGGCGGCGACGGAGGCGGCGGCGGTGGCGGCGGGGCTCTGAGGTGTCGTTTTCACACCCCGGTGACGGTGGCTACCTGAGAGGACGGACGGTGCCTCACAGCGGGAGGGCGAGGGGTTCGGTGATCAGGACCCACGAGGAATGTGTGTCTGTCTGTCTGTACCTCGGTACATGCCTGACAGGGTTCTGCGACACCTGAGCGAGCGCCATTTCAGCGAACGATATTTGAGCGAAACATTTTCAGCGATTATCAATTCAAGCGATTGACTTTTTCAGCGATTGTCAAATCGGCGAATTCAATCACAGCGATTAGCAACTTTAGCGAGGACCAGAATCACCGAAACCAGATTGAGCGAATATATGGTGGTCAATGGGAAACCAATTGAGCGAATACAGTTACAGCGAAACCGAACGCGACGAAATTCAATAACTTGCTACTTTCCGGAAATTCTTGCCCCATGGGATACCCGTTTGGTATGTGTCACGGCTAAAACAAGGATTCTTTATAACAAAATGTGGGACAAGGTTTTAACATTTACTCCAAATTTGCAGCCAGTATCTTGTACCACTGATTTTGAAGTCGCGGCACATTAGTCGATGAGACACCTTTTTCCTGGGATTCAAATAAGAGCATGTTTTTTTCATTTTGGGCAAGCAATTTCGAGGAGGGTTTGTGATTTGGGGCTTAGAATGTCATGCATTCAGGACGAAAATTTCCGTCCTGATTATGCATTTGTCGTCCTGAAATTGGCATTACTTTCGTCTCAGATTGTGGTCAATAGTTTTGAGTAGCTGGATGAACTTCGGGAACAAAGTAATTTGGAAATTCTTGCACCTCTTTACGCATCATTTGAAGACACATACATCGGACGACCAACAAGGGGTGGGAGGAGAAGAAGGCGGGCAAAATTTTGAATCGAAAATGTGGAACGTGAGAGATAAAGACGACGGAAGGAATGCCAAGGACCAATATTAAACTCGAGGGATGGCACAGGGGAATCCAGTCTATGTTTCAGGGACCTCACCAAAATATCTTATTCGTACGGTGCTTCATGGGACAAAAACAAATTTTACAACATGGGGAACTGATCCAAATTCAAGCAGGGAATTTCTCGAAAAACGGCGCAAGCAATATGAATCCCTGAACAAACGTTTGGTCACCATTATTGGCAAAGGGCAGGGGTGCGAAATTGAACCGTTGGAATTTTTGAGAAATGTAGCATTGGAGCTCAATGCCTGACCTTTGAACGTGGCATCCGCCATCCAGTTCCGGATAACCATGAGAAAATTCCGGAAATATTCGCACGTATAAGCTCGCAAAAGTTAAAAAAAAAACACACACACACACCGTTACAGGACGATAAAGTGATTCGCTGAACCGACAGTCGCTCAAATTGTAGTCGACGAAATAGATGTCGCTGAAACATAGCTTTCGCTAAAATTGATAATCGCTATATCTGATAATCGCTGAACTTGATAATCGCTGAATTGTCATTCGCTGAAAATGGTTCGCTCAAATGACGTTCGCTCAAATGACACTCGCTAAAGTCGCTCGCACCGGCCTGACAGATCCACCGGCCTGGGATCTTCGCGAGTAGCCATTTCGCATGAGCGCGCTCATTAGTTCCAGATGTTTACGAAGGAGGACGCTGCTTCGGTGCCACGTTTTGAACTGATAATTCAAGCAATTATTTCTCATTATATCAGCTAGTCGAAGCTATTGTCACTGGTCAGGGAGAACGAGTGTGGTTATAACTAGTCCTTATAACATGCAGCCTCTAGATTGAAGCCTGCAACACATCCACAAAGTGATAACGGAAGGTTGCTATTCATTTGTTAGAAGCACTGTTCGTTGAAATGGTGCCTTTCTACTGAGAAATAAAACTGAGTTCTCGGGCAACTTTGCAAAAGATGCCGGAGTATCCCGGGATCGGCTGCTGGCGGCCGACATTTGCGTGTACGGCCGAACTCACCTTTACATTCGTTGGCCGCCTGGTCGGTCGCGCGTCCCCAGGGCCGGTCAAAGTGGAACGGTTTGCATCTCTCGCAGTCTCTTCCCGCCGTGTTGTGCTTACACTCACAGACTAGCTCTCCGGAGCCGTCTCGAATGCAGCGCGATGCGTGTCCGTTGCACTTGCAGCGGCCGCCGACGGAGAGGTCGGATACGGCGTAGAAGTCGCTGCCCGTCTCGGAGGTCGTCTCTGAAGTGTAGGAGTCCAACAAGGAGATGGTGTTGTCGGCAACTGAGTCAGGACCGGAGCGGGGAGTCGTGCTCATAACCGACGGAAGCAGGTTCAGAGACCCGGCTGAAGATGGTGTCGGGTGAGGTCGGGTTAGCTCAACGCGGATATCCGTAGCAGTAATCCAGTCTTGGAGAATAGGACTGTGTTCTAGCTGGTAGGCGCTTGGACGGCCTTCTAACGTGCTGAACGCAACCCTTCCTCCAGCGCGACCTCCAGACATTGGCGTTGGCTCGCAGAGAGGCTCCTGTTCGTTAGCACGCGTGATAGCCGCTCTTTCAGGTCGACCATACACCCCACGACAATCCGAGCTGTAGTACTGAAACGGCTGCCACGAGCGACCATAATCCATCGACTTGAAGATCGCCAGTGAGTCAGGTCGCCTCCCGCAAAACTGAAGGCTGATGTATGTCAGTTCGTACTTCTTTCCGAGCGAGAGAGTAAGCGTGACGGCTGAGTCGTTTACCGGCAGCGCGGCGCTTTGCCAACAGGTTAGGTTACTCGGGTTGTTGAGGTCGGTCAGATGTGAAGGAGGGTGAGCACGTGCTGGTGTGGACGCGTCACAGATTTGACATTCCGCTGGCTCGCCGTCAGCTCTTGTACACAGTTGCTCGGGAGGTGAGCCGCAAGTAGAAGATACGCTGAGTTGTTGTCCAAACGCGGCGTTTACGAAGTCGGGAACGCATCTCTGAGGCTGGCGAACTGTTTCATCCATGCAGGCATCGGCCGGCGGTGGGGGCATCTTTGGAGAGAAGAGCATGAAAGAGCGACCACCTCGTGCGGGCTCGGAGAAACCGGGAGAGACGAGGAAGGCCAGAAGAAGTAGCTCCGACAGACGAAGCGGTGGAGAAGCCTTCATGGTGAGAAGGATAAGCGCACGTCTCGATAGTCCGTATTCACTGAGTCTGGCCAGAGAAGGTCCGCTAAGTTCGCAAATGACGGTGATAGTTTAATGCCGCACGTTTAGAGTTTAGTATACACAGTTTTTAGATAATACGGCTCAATGGATTCCGAAGAAGATCGTCTTTGAATCACTGATAACCACACTAGATGCTCAGTCTGAGAGTTGGGATAGCACTCTCCGTAAAGTTTATAAACGGGCACTCGTATCACTGTCCTTTGCCTCCGCTTCTCACTCAATCATCTCACCGTCCTTCTCACACCAAGTCCACCGTATCACCTTCGGTCCGCACTTCTCACCAGTCCTTGTCCGAGCTGACTCGCGAAAAACCACCCGACGAGCCGCCGTCGGCCCCGCCGACCGACCGTCGCAATCGACGATACCCTACCGCACGCGGCGATGCCCCGGAGCGTATCGTCGACGTGCCCCCCTCGCGGACACTAATCCCGAACTGACACCGCGCCGTCTCGGAGGCAGACAGGCCGCCACGCGACCTCAGCGCCGCCCAGCGGCAGGAGAGAGAACTACCCCACCCGCCGCCTCGGCTGGGGCTAATTGGGTTTTTGTTGCGTTGAAGGTGTGAGCCTGATAGGCATGGAGGCAGGGTGGTGTGGCATGCGATGCCTTTCCTCTTTGTGCCCAGAGGGGACGGGAGGCGTGGTCCTACCGGTGTAATGTGATTGGACTGTAGCCTGAAGTAGAGTGGTTTGAACGGCCTACCTTGAAGCGACCCTTCCGATGTCAGATGAATTAGTTTACATGTAGGTATGTAACATAAATAGTTCATCTTTTTATATAATTTGCCATGTCGATTGGCATCACTGGTAAACCATCCCTGTCTGGTGTTTTCCCTTCCCTTTCACCAGGCAGCCAGTGAAGGACATTTAGCGCTCTCATTAAGAGCGTTACTCTCCGGGTTGACCGTTTGAGCGGCTGATTGGCCGTCCTGCAGGACGGGGTCTACCCCTGCGGCGCAGTAGTCGGTGGTCGCATCATTCCAAATGTCTCCCTCTTTTGCTTTGGAATGATCCAATATGCTTTGTGTTGTGAACCGTGGTAGTGGTAGCAGTAAGCCAGGCCAGGTAAAATCGTTGAGATGAGCGGGCTAATCGTTGAGTTTCTGGCAATATAATATGGCGATGCGTTGAATATTTTATTTTAATTCATCCCATCTACATTTGCTTTGTATAGGGGAAAGTGGGGTAAGACGGTCAAGGTAGGTAAGACGGGCACCCCCTCTGCAGACCAAACCAATAGCGCTACGAGCGAGAAAAATTAGGACCAGAATAGCCTTTCCCACTACACACCGCCATTGAAGTCTGGTGAATTTGTGTTCGGTCAATAATCTTTTATTTTGATTTCTTTAAAACACTCATTTCATTGAAAACATTCATAATGTATTGTGCAAGCTTTTGTGTGCAGCACTATAGAGTTAAAAACTGGCAATCACTTGTGGCACACTCATATGCCTCCAGTGTTCATTCACCGCGGATTTGCTTTGTCTGCATCAAATTGTCCACAGAGAAAAATCGTGCTGAACTTCTGACATTGAGTTTGGGGTAAGACGGGCAACTATGAATCCGATGGGTCTGTAATGGTAAAAATATTTTTGTTGCTGTAGGAAAAAAGAAGCATTTCTGATAAGAATATGTTCGATTCCGATACTCACAGACATGTTAGCAATATTCCTTCGGCACAGTTTATTCTCGAATAATGAATGTGAAAAACGGCTCTACATGGCTTCTGAACTAGGGCCTATATACGAGTATACGCCTTCTGCACGAATCTCGTATACTGCCATTTCCGAAGCACTTGAGACCAACGAGCGACTGTATCAATGCGGCTAATCTCGGGCATTTGCTGCGAGCTGTGCTGGTCGGTGAAAGAAGCTGGCCGTCTTGCCCTACCCATGTGACCGTCTTACCCCATGGAGTGGGGTAAGATGGGTTTTTGCAAGGTTTTGCAAAAATAGCTGCAGTTTATTTGTTGAGTCAGGTCTAAGTCTCATCTTCTGGCAAATGGAAGTAAAATGTCTGTAAAAGGTTTTCACTCAGTTTCCCGTTTCTATGATGTTTCTAACCGGCCGAAAAATGGCTCCAAAGTTAAGGTGCCCGTCTTACCCCACTTTCCCCTACCTATCTCAATCTGGCGTAAGAAGTCAGACCTGCACAACAAACTCCGCTTTGTGGGAGTTCTCGCAGTGGGAGAATCGTCCGTGCCAAATCATACTATATCATATGAAATGACTGTCGCCTACCCAATTCACCTGGAAAAAAGGTGAAAAATTGTCTTGACTGGTTGACGACTATTTCACTCCAAGCACAGTGTCTGTGGGATTTGTAAGTAAAGTATTTTCTATCCATTGATAAGGGCACTGGAAAAATCACTTAGGATTTTTACATCGGTGATCTAAGGTCAAGTCAATGATCAGCTCTTCCCGGTACCCACGACAGGCGGGGAGAGGGGGGGGGGGGAGTCGGTCGAATCAGACCCCCCTCTCATCTCGAGACCAATGGCCGTATAGAGTCCCGCGAGGCGGCGGCGGCTTTTGCTCGGTTCACCGTTTCAGAAGGCAGGAAGATCTGGGGCCATTCGTAAATTATCAGCTAAAAAAAAAAAAACAGCTCAACCACCTCACTCGTCACTCAAATACTTACATCGGGAACTAGCGAAGTTTATCCAATATAAACCTTCCACACATGCTTGTGCATGGCTCTTGGGATGCAGGAGCTGAAAAAGGAGAAAGGAATTTTAGGACAAATGTAGGTGACATGAATCAGTCGGGTGCATCGGATGCGGATGCGAGTATGCTACCGTATTAAGGGGCGCGAGAGTGGAGCAATTTGAGGGACTTTATGCCAAGCACAAATTTAAGGAATTTAAGCAGCTGTCGACTGAATTGTAGAGGCTCATACCGGGGCTCATTTACCCCGCCTTACAAATAAGCTACGTCAGTATTTCTGCAAGCGAAATCAAGCTGAATAAATTGTGGGCGTCAGGGTCAGGCAGAATATATATTGAGCACATCGGTTCACAGAAGAGTGATCACAGGTGACTAAAGGCAGGAATACACGCATGAAGTTCTTTGCGTCTTCCATTAATATCTGTATATCACGAATATCAGCTTCCTATCAGGCCGCTTGATAAAACAATCACAAACAAAATGAATCCTGCTTACAAAAATAACTTAAGACAGCCTTATTATTCTCACACTGAGAGATCAATCACAGGCAAAGTTTTGGCATCCTTTCCCACACACATACCTTATTCATTTACTGAAGCTTTAGCTATCCTGAGAGCATGACTCCGACGCACCCAGCTCAACTCGAGGAGACTCTGGCTTGAATATAATCTGTTCATCATCCAACTGCACAATTCTGGGCGAGTCCAAATAACGCTGAGGGGAGTCCCTGAAGACAATCTGCTCGGTGGTTACAGCGCGGGGCGAGTCCACGTCTTCAGACTGAGGGGAGGCAGTTTTGAAGAGTATTTGTTGGTCGTCACGGACCAGTCCCACGGGACGTCCTGTTACTGTGTTGGGTGTGATGGTTTTCACGAAGATGCGAGTCAGGTTGGGGTCGGTAGTGGCTAGTTGAGATCCGTTGGGCTGTACGACATTCACCATCTGTGGAAAGTAAGCATGTAACAGCGAAAGAAAGCATGTAACAGAAAGAACAAACAGCGAAGCATGTAACAAAAAAAACATGCAGCTATATATGTTTTCAAATATAACCTTATGTTCAATGATTGCGAAATGCAAAAGGTTCCAAAATTAATATCTTTATAAAATATATTTATATGAAAGGGTACCTTGTGAACATTTCAACTGTAAGATGGTTGTCTATTTTGCGCGAGAATTTACCAATGTGAGACTTCCTAACTTAGCTGTTATCGACATATTCTGGCGCTGTTGTGACTAAATGATTTAATTTGAATTCTGAACTGAAGAAGGACAGTGTCCGAAATATATTCATTTTGTAATTAATTTTGGAACCTTTTGCATTTCGCAATCATTGAACATAAGGTTATATTTGAAAACATATATATGTCATAATGCTGTTCATACAAGTACTTCGCCATTTACTTGAAACATGCAGCTATGCAAATTAGAAAACACTGCTAACATAGTGCAACATAATGCAAACATTGCTATACGGAATAACCGAAGGTTTGTTGTCAATAGTTAAAACACTATTCTTTAGAATTGTGTTTTTCTATTGAAAAACAAATCTGAGTTCCCTGACAATTTGGCAAAAGCTGCCTGAGATCATATGACAATACGATCACGTTAGACAACAGAGGACGCTACGGTAAAAATACCACTGAACAGACTGTGAAAGAGCCAGCACCGCCTTACATATATCCTCAGTCGGCTCGAGACGGATCAACTTATCCATCTTAGCTAGAGGTTATCCCAGTGTCGTGGGTCTCATGACCGAGCAAATCATGAGTTGGCCAGGACAGGCAAACTCATCTGACTCCATCAGAACTCAGGGCGCCAGACTAAATCAACTGAGTTGAGCCAGAGGGACGGGTCAGCTTAGTGGCGTGCGTCACAGTGTCTCACCTGAGTGGGTCGTGCTGATATGAGTCGCACCGATCGCTGCTCTGAAGCCTCCTGAGCCTCGTTCATCACAAACACGGCCTGAAAGCGAGACAAATGGTTCAGTAGGTCATCATAAACATCCTAACACACTTACACATGACTCGACCGTTACAACATAATCATTGTAACGAACGAAAGAAATCAGACCACAATTCGTCTCTCGTAAAACGTAACATGATGAGACAGACAGGTCGCATTAACGACAAGCGGGTGCCTTATTGGTTACTTGAATGGTACATGCCTACACCGTTCAGAACCAAAGACGTAGCCACTAATCCCATCAACCGGCGTCAAAGTGCACATATATCCCACAGTAATAAGTTTTTGTTGTTGTTTATTGGGGCTTTAGGGCGCTGTCAGTTTCTCCCCAATCCCGTTCCTCACCTCATTGATGATGTAGTCGGATACCCCCTCGCCATGGCCCAGTGCCTGCATGTGCGCACGTAGCTGCGACCGACGCACAAAGCCCAGACCACAGACGCGACACTCGAAGGGCTTCTTCTCTGAGTGGATGAACATGTGAGTCCTGAGGGTAAAGACGTAGGTATTCAGTGCAAGTCTACGGTCGCCTTCGCTCGGATCCTGCACTTATAGTAAGTTTAGGCTATAGTAAGTTTAGGCTGGTCGTATGTTGTTGAAAATGTTTTGTTATAGAAAAGCCCACGAATAAAATGTGAATTCATTATTGGATACTAGGAAACATATTATGATGAGTGAAAGAATACCTACATGCAGATTGACTGTTTCATAAAAAGCGCAATGAAATGAGCGGACCATGTTGAGATAAAAAGGAAAAAATCAAACATGGAATCGAAGTTTATGATTCACATTT